CTCTCTCTCCAATACCACCAGCAGCAGGAGCAACAAAACACCAGGCTCCAAAGTGCATGCTGGCCACTGTATGGCCTCCCACCCTCCTTGCTGTGGTCGCTTTGGACCTCTGGGCTGCTGTCCCAAATTCCTTGATGATTTTAGCACCTGGATTACAGCCAACAATATTCCTGGTCTCCAACACTATTTCTCAGCAATTTCAGCATCTGTGGATAATTCTTCCAGCCCTGAGGCTCCAGGTTCTGCTCTCAACTCAAATGATCTTGTCCTCCACTCTCCCTCAGCCCTTCTTTTCCATGGTCATGCTCTGCACTTAATACTGATAACCCCAAAACTACACTGCCCCAAGCTCAGTTTTAAGCATCACGTTCTCCAACCCCCACCTCCTCCTTCCCCTTCAGTGCGTTTAGTATGGGGACTTCAATGATTTCTTGACACCGCTGGGACCTCCAATATGTAGCTCCTATTTCCTGTTCACGTCTGTTACCTCCCTCGTGCCCTCACTTTTCTCCTAACCCTGTTGAGCTCTAGAGTCCATTATTGTAGGCCTTCCCTTCTACATGCTTTGCTTCCTTTGGCCCCCACTCTGTGTCGTACCCGCATGGTAAACCTCAGCCCTGGTTAAATCCAACTCTCCCCTTTCTCCATACCAGCACCTGGACAGCTGAACCGAGCTGGAGAGAAGCACGGGTGAGGCTGAGTGGTCTCTCCCAGGTTCCCGAGCACTAGCCTGGGCGGGCTCTAGGTTAGCCTGGCTGGAGATCCTGCACTTTGTGTATGTCCCTAGCCCTCTCTTTCCCTCATTTATTTCATGTCTTGCCCTCTCTTCTTAAACCTTTAACATCGGCTGGGCGCGGTGGCTCAAGCCTGTAATCCCAGCACTTTGGGAGGCCGAGACGGGCGGATCACGAGGTCAGGAGATCAAGCCCATCCTGGCTAACACAGTGAAACCCCGTCTCTACTAAAAATTACAAAAGACTAGCCGGGCGAGGTGGCGGGCGCCTGTAGTCCCAGCTACTCGGGAGGCTGAGGCAGGAGAATGGTGTGAACCCAGGAGGCGGAGCTTGCAGTGAGCTGAGATCTGGCCACTGCACTCCAGCCTGGGCAAGAGAGCCAGACTCTGCCTCAAAAAAAAAAAACAAAAACAAAAAAACCCTTAACATCTCCTCACTCTTAGCTGATGACCTTGCTTCTTACTTTGCTGAAAAAGAGATACTGTGCATTCAGAAGACAACTTCTCGCCTTGGGCACTCCCACAACCACGTCTACCCACCTCACCGTATCTGCAGCCACACACCCAGCCTTCCCCTTCACCGGGTATAAATCATGCTCTGGCAAGGCCGCCACTCCGCCCAGCTCTAGACCCCTACTTCCTGACTCCTCAATTGTTTGCTTTCTACTGGATAATTCTTATCCGTTTATCACCTCTCAACCCCACAGCCCCCAAGAGGGTTGTCTACACTCACTGTCTCCACCTATTCTCCTCCTGTTCTCTCTAAACCACTTGCATCAGGCATTCGTTTTGTCCAGTCTACTGAAAATACTCCTACCAAGGTCAGCAATGACTCCACCCCCATGGTCAATATCAAGTTCCAGGTCTCAGCCCACTTGAACTTGCAGTAGAATTTAGCCCAGTTGATCACACTTTCTTCTCCTCCAACTCATTCTTACTTGGCCTCCCGGGAGCCCTTCTTCCCCAGTTGTCCTCCTGCCTCTCTGTCAGGTCATCCTCAGTTTCCTCTCCTTCTTCCTCCTCATCTCCCCAGCCTCTAACTTCCAAATGCCTCGAGGCCCAGTACTTGAACCTCTTCTTTTTAATTGTATTTCACAGATACTGTCATCTCACTCATGGCTTCAAATTCCCCCTGTTTGCATACAACACCCACATTTATATCCCCAGGCTACAACTGTCCCCCCGGCTCCTGACCTCCCCTGGACATGGCCTGGCTGCCTCACAGGCTTCTCAAACTCCATAGGCCCTGCTAACCCACTTCACCTGCACCTGTCCATTCAGCAAATGGCTAAACACGTATTCTCTCTTTCTACCACAACACATATCTCTTCCGTCAGTGAATCAAATCAAAGACCTCCCACCAGATATTACTACCTCTGCCACAACCTAGTTTATGCTAACATCCTCCCTGTGTCTAGGCCAGTGCCTTCACCTCCCACATGGCCTCCTCCTTCTTGCCGTGGCCCCTAGAGTGTCACCTGAACACAGAGGCCATACCGAGGCTGTTCACGCCTCAGTCCCCCAAGTTAACCACATTCCTCCTCTAAGAACCTCCTGTGGTTTATTGGCTCATTGGGAGTAAAAGCCCCTGCCCGCAAAGCCCGTTTGGACCTGGCCGCCAAAGACCCCTGCCTTCAGCACCTGACCATTCTCCTTGCCAGGCCGTTCCTGCCTCACTGGCCTTTTTTGCGGTTCTTCACTCTTGGCTGCCTCCTGCTTCTGGAACTTTGAACTTGCTGTTCCCTTTGCCTGGAATACTTTTCCCCCAAGAACCTGCAGGCCTCGGTCACCTACTTCCTTCATGTCTTTGGCCAAGTGTGACCTCATGAGTGAGACTTTTCCCATCACTCTATGGATGATGGAACCCCCAGGTCCCTGCCACTCCTTTCCTTTAATGCTGCTTTACTTTTTTCCATAGCACTGTTTATGCACTGACGTCAGTTTGGTTGTTGTTGCTGTTATTGTTTTTTGTTTACCGACTGCCTCCCCACTGGAATATAGACTCCAGCAGGCCGGCACTTTGTCTGTTTTATTTACTGCTGTGTCCCAGTGCCTACAACAGTGCCTGGCATGGGATAAATGTGTGGGGGGAGAATTGGGGGAACATGGTGGTCTTACTTGCAAACTTCTAACAAGGCCCGGTCTCTACAGCAGGCCTTTGGTTAGCCATGACAGGGCATGTGAGCTCTAGTCCTGTGTGGGTTCCTATTGGGGTCTCTGTCTTCTAATTATGAAGTAAAAGGAAGCTCTCCTCCAGTGAAAGTAATTTCCTGCATCCCATTAGAACAGCTGAGGGAAGTGTCAGTGGGAGAGGTGTGATCGGGCCCACTGAGGCAGAGGCCTCCTTGAAGCCTGGATCACATTGCTGGAAGGAAACACCTGTTTCGCCAACCCAAAGGCTACCTGCTGGCCCAGGATCCAGGCCCGGCTGTACTGAGATCACAGCTCAGGGCCCTGCACATGCTGGGGTTCTGCTGACTCGATTCTGGAAATGTCTAATATCACCAGAGCCATTCGAGTGCCACGAAATAACACATTTATGTATTATTCTGCTTCCGGTGAGCTCATGAGAAAAGGCAGATATCTACTAATTAAAAATATTCTTTTGATCAGCCAGCATGGTGGCTTATGCCTGTAATCCTGGCACTTTGGGAGGCCGAGGCAAGCGGATCACCTGAGATTGTGAGTTCAAGACCAGCCTCACCAACATGGTGAAACCCTGTCTCTGCTAAAATACAAAAAATTAGCCGGGCATTGTGGCGCACACCTGTAGTCCCAGCTACTCGGGAAGCTGAGGCAGGAGAATTGCTTGAACCTGGGAGGTGGAGGTTGCAGTGAGCCAACATCTTGCCACTGCACTCCAGCCTGGTGACAGAGCAAGACTCTGTCTCAAAAAAAAAAATTATTTTGATCAGCTTCCTACCGACAAAGTTCAGAAAACAAAGAACAATGTTTTACTACATACATATGCATATGCATGCACACGAACTAGAAAAAAAAATTTTTTTGAGACAGGGTCTGCTCTGTCACCCAGGCTGGAGTGCAGTGACATGATCACAACTCACTACAGCCTCAACCTCCCGCGCTCAAGCAATCCTCCGACCTCAGCCTCTCAAGCAGCTGGGACTACAGGCATGCACCACCATGCCTCGCTAATTTTTGTATTTTTTTGTAGAGACGGGGTTTGCCACATTGCCCAGGCTGGTTCTCAAACTCCTGGGCTCAAGCAATCCTCCTGCCCTGGCCTTCCAAAGTGCTGGGACTGCAGGAGTAAGCCACTGTGTCCAGCCTAAAAAAACTTTTTAAAAGCCAAGGACAAGTTAGTTTTGGAACAAGGGAAATGATCTCTGTTGACAGCCTCCTTTTCCTTCTCAGTGGTAGGGTATTTTTGTTTTAGCAAGAGGGCAGAGCTGTGCATATATTCATTTTGTAATTGGTAAAATGTGAGGGAAAGTTTCTGAGAATCTTTCCTTTGCAGCCTCAAATGCTGAGCATTTTTCCTGGTTCGGGAGAGTGCTTTGTCTGGCATCTGGCGATGGTGTTTCCGGCACCGTCTGGCCTGTGGTCTGTGGGGACGTACATACGTCTTGTTAGGGCTCTCCATCTACTCCACACATGGCTTGCCTGGCTTATGTAGTCTGAGCAGGTGCCCAGCTTTGTCCCAGATATTGAAGCCGTGTAAAATAAATGCCTTTTGATTGTTCACACTGTAAGCAATATTGGTACAGTATTGTCCAATTGTCCCAGGCGCTCCCTCTCCTTCCTGCTTATGGCACTTCATGTATTAAAAAATGACAATGGCAGCATTGCCCAAACATGCATTTTGCCATCAAGTCTTAATGCAGTCAACCTGGTCCCTCAGGAAAATGAATGGAGGCCCAGAAGATGAAATGATTTTCAAAATGCCATTAGGAAAGCTCGGGCCAGAACTGGAAATGGGTCCTGCACAGGGCACTCGGCCACTCTTGCCTGGCCATCTCCTTTTTGGCGCTAAGCCACAAGCACACAGTGATATAGAATGAATGGCTATCACTGGGGATCCAAAAGGGTCATTCAATCACTTCTCTCTTTTATCAGGTCTAAGTTCTCTTTCTTATCAGATCCTAAAGGCCTAATCTTATCATTGGGAAAAAGATAACTGTACAGTCTGTTAAACTTTTTTTAATAACATGAAGATTATGATTTATAGCTGAATTTCTCCCTTTTATTCCAATCCAACAATTTTCATGGATTTTTGTGTTTGTTTTTGTTTTGGATATATTTACAGAAAATTACCTGAAGAGTTCCAGCCTGAGACCTCCTCATGGATGGGTTAAATGTGACATCATCTGTTGTTGAGGAACCCACGAACATCTCAACTGGCAGGAACGCCTCGGTTGGGAATGCACATCGGCAAATCCCCATCGTGCACTGGGTCATTATGAGCATCTCCCCAGTGGGGTTTGTTGAGAATGGGATTCTCCTCTGGTTCCTGTGCTTCCGGATGAGAAGAAATCCCTTTACTGTCTACATCACCCACTTGTCTATTGCAGACATCTCACTGCTTTTCTGTATTTTCATCTTGTCTATCGACTATGCTTTAGATTACGAGCTTTCTTCTGGCCATTACTACACAATTGTCACATTATCAGTGACTTTTCTGTTTGGCTACAACACGGGCCTCTATCTGCTGACGGCCATTAGTGTGGAGAGGTGCCTGTCAGTCCTTTACCCCATCTGGTACCGATGCCATCGCCCCAAGTACCAGTCGGCGTTGGTCTGTGCCCTTCTGTGGGCTCTTTCTTGCTTGGTGACCACCATGGAGTATGTCATGTGCATCGACAGAGAAGAAGAGAGTCACTCTCGAAGTGACTGCCGGGCAGTCATCATCTTTATAGCCGTCCTGAGCTTCCTGGTCTTCACACCTCTCATGCTGGTGTCCAGCACGATCTTGGTCGTGAAGATCCGGAAGAACACGTGGGCTTCCCATTCCTCCAAGCTGTACATCGTCATCATGGTCACCATCATTATATTCCTCATCTTCGCCATGCCCATGAGACTCCTTTACCTGCTGTACTATGAGTATTGGTCAACCTTTGGGAACCTACACCACATTTCCCTGCTCTTTTCCACAATCAACAGTAGCGCCAACCCTTTCATTTACTTCTTTGTGGGAAGCAGTAAGAAGAAACGATTCAAGGAGTCCTTAAAAGTTGTTCTGACCAGGGCTTTCAAAGATGAAATGCAACCTCGGCGCCAGGAAGACAATTGTAATACGGTCACAGTTGAGACTGTTGTCTAAGAACTGAGAGGGAAGTTGTGGATAACAATGGTGGAACACAGGTCATTTTTAGCTTGTGCTTGGAATATAACTTAAGTATCTCCTAAATGTGATACAGAGGGACATCTCATCTAATATGTATGAGATACTAATTAATGATGAAATTGAACTCTTGTACTGTATCTTCTGGAAATGACCTGTCATTTCTGTACTTGATAAAGACTCTTTCTATTTCTTTCAGCTCTTTTGGCAGCATCTTACCATGAACCATAAAAATGACTCTAGCAGGAAGATTTACAGATATGTACGGGACAAGGTAACAAAAGTATTTGTTGGAACTTGAGGAGGCAGCTTGATGTAGCAGGAAGAACAAGGGTCACTTCCTGTGTGACCTCAGGCAAGTTGTTAAACCTCTCAGAGCCTCATTTTCTCACTCATATAATGGTCATGGCAACAGTCTATACCTCCTTGGTCTGCTGTGAGGATGAAATGAGAAGATGAGGCTTGCAAAGCACCTGGCACATTGTGGATGCTCAACAAACATCAGTCTCTCCTCACTCCCTTCAATGGTAGACAAAATATAAATTTTTGTTTCGTAAAGCGCACACACACACATACACACAGCTCTATCATGTACAGAAGTTATTATGTGTTTTTACACATTGAATGTAAATTTACGAAGGTCTTCTTTTTGCTTGCAGCATGAAAGCTTTTCATGGCATTACCCCTCTATTGAAAAACATCGCGGATGTTATGATCTAAGCAGCTATGTGCTCGTGCATCATTTCAGGTTAAGAAGAAAAACATTTGGCCACCAGTAGAGGAGTTTCTCATGGCTTCCCTTCCCTCTGTGGGTATACTAGATGAAATGAAAGTCTGTGTTTTGAAATCCTTTGATTGCATATGAATTTTTATGAATGGAGTTGAATTTATGACTTCCTGGTGGTGACTGGGATCCTCCTCCCCCATGAAACGGTGGGTTATTTATAGCCAGAGTTCTCACCTGCAGCCAAGTGCAGGTATCTGCACCTGTTTGCCTCCTCGCCTCCTGAGCCTTTTTTTTTTTTTTCTCATCATACCTGGAAGGAGGCTCAGTGTAAGGGCTAATGAGAATGTGGACACATCCTGGAGGACTCTGATATTTTTGCTCATGGCAGATCCTTGCATGACATCCTCAGCATCTTTATTCAGCACTCCAGGGCAGGCTCTGCCTCTTGCCTGCCACGAGTTGCCCTCCAGACACCACATGTCCTGGGTTTTAGCTGTGAAGCCCGTCTCAGCCTATAGACTGCATAGCGATGTTTATTTCCTTCTGTCCCTTCTAGGAGTTCCACAAAATGCCAATATGTCACATGATTCTACAGGTTGTAAAATGTTCAAGTCCATAGAAATGAGCCCGATAGTATTTATTTTAACCATTTGCTCTTTAAAAGGTCAGAGAAGCAGTGATGAAACGGTTCTCTGTTGCTGCTGGTCCTTCCCCATTCTCTTCCTTTCTCAAAAGAAACGATGGGGGTCAGCTTCGCTGAGGGAGCTGAGTCTCTCCCGTCGAGCCAGGACCCCACTACCAGCCAAGCTTGGATGCCGGAGGCTTTTCAGTGGGTGACAACATCTGATTCAGAAACAAGGCAGCTTTGCTGTCAGGAGCCCAGATGGGGTGTGGAGCAGTGACATTTAGAATGATCTTGGTTTTGGTTGAAAACAGAGCATCTTCCCTGGGAAAGAACAGAATATGGAGATCAGAGCGACTCCCCTCTGTTTCCTGTCCTCTCCTGTGTGTGCTGCGTGCTGGCCTCTGGGGTAGGGAAAGGGGGCCAACCTCATCTCATTTCAAAGGGGATCTTAGTCTCAAAGAGGACCCTAAAGACTATCAGATACAAGGAATTTCTACCTAAGGAAAATATGGTGAACTAATAGGAAGCCCCCATTTACTGTTTTTCTGCAGATAAAGTTGGGAAATCAAATGTGATAATGAATATAAAAGTTATTCTAACCTTTTAAAATGATGCCTTACCAAGAGGTAGGATTCAGAGTTTGGCAGGGTTATAAAGACTAATTTCTTTCTCTCTTCCCCCAAATCCATTCCTAAAATGAACTGTAAGGTTAAAACGAAAACAAGAAGATCTGAGTAGATTTGCAAATGTGTAGAGAATACTAAAAAATTTGTACCCTTTAGGCATTCAGACAATTTGCCTAAGTCACTGTAGGTTACTAGGTGCCGCTTCCGAGAATTCCCTGGGGATGGGGAGGAGATTGTTTGGATAATGCCTGTCCTAACTGAAGAGGAAGGGTTTGTAGCGTTCCTACTACAAAGATTCATGGACAGCCTTCTCTGCAGAACGCCATGATGTGGACAAGGCAAAGATGGGGAAGTGGAAGCCGCTGTCCTGTGTCGTAGGAGAGAGAGACACCGCATAACTAAAACGCCAGGCTGCACACAAGTTTGTTTGACAAGTGTTAGGAACAAAATTGTGTGGCAGAGGTCACCGCAGCAGGGGGCTCTTCCTGCCACCCCCACACTGCACACAGCCTCTTCTGTTCCCTCCCCTGCCCACTGGCGTTTCTCCTCAGCAGTCGTCATGCTGTGTATTGATTTGCTTATTTGCTTGTTCTCTTCACGCTAGACTATAAGCTCCTTGAGGGCAGGGATGTAACTTTGCTCACTGCTATAGCCCCAGCTTATCTGCTGTGGTGGTCTAATCCACTGCACCCCTCTCTGGGATGTTTCCCTTGCACATATAAATAGGCTCAAATTGCTTCCACCTAACCACAAGCCATTCCTTGCCCCATAGTCCTTTCCTTTCCAGTTTCTATCTCTCCTCCCTCCCTTCCATCCAAACCACCTTCTGGAAAGGCTCTTCCACACTCACTGTCCTGACTCTTGCCACAATTCACCCCTCAACATCCTACCAGTTGTCTTGCAGTCTGACCATCACAGAGAGATTGGTCCAGATAGGAAGGTGAGTAACTTCCACAGTGCCAAATCTGATGGGCTGTTTTCTACCTACGCCTTTTGTGGCATTTAATATCCACAGTCTTCCTGAAATTATCTCTTTTCTTGGATTCTAGTTTGCTACATTTTTCTCCAGGTCTCTTTTTGAATCCTGTCTTCCCGATTGGAATCTTCTCACTTCTTTCCTCCCTCTTCTACTGCTCCTCCCTTAAATGGACACATTTTCCATAATTCAGTGGCTGGGCCTCCACTCTCCTCTTTCTGAGAACTCTCCCTGGATCCTGATCCATAATCATCTGCTTATTAATGAACCTCAAATAGACATTTGCTGAGCAGAACCCTTTGCTGGCCTCCAGTCCTGTGTGTGCAACCATCTAATGGACTTTTTGACCCAACGTCCTACAGGTGCTTGTAACCCATTCATTTCTCCACCATTTCTTTTTTCTTTTTTTTCTTTTTCTTTTCTTTTTTTTCTTTTTCTTTTTGAGACAGAGTCTTGCTCTGTTGCCCCACCTGGAGTGCGGTGGCGTGATCTCGGCTCACTGCAACCTCCACCTCCCAGGTTCAAACAATTCTCCTGCCTCAGCCTCCCAAGTAGCTGGGATTACAGATGTGAGCCACTGCACTGGACCCACCCCTATTCATTTTTCAGTGAAGGACACCGCTGGTCACCCTGTCCCCCTTGCTATGCTATTCCCTTTGCACAGATTGCTCTACCTTTTCTTAATCTAGCAAACTCCGTTTATCCATCTACATCCAGCTCAAACGTTAGAGTCTCAGGAGAGCCTCTGGAAGCTGAGTTCCTGGATAACAGTGTCATACCTTTTCATTCCCAGACTTTCCACATCTTTCCCTTCCTCACTTTCGGCTAATGATGGCTGGTTCCCCTTTACACAAGGGGAATAGAAGCAACTGGAAGAACTCTTCCAGACATCCCTGCCATCCCCTCTGCTGACCTAGCTACATCTCCTGCATAGTGGCCTCTCCCCTCTGTGCTCGGGGGAACTCGCTATGCCCCTCCCTGGCTAAGGTGACACCCTGGCTGAGATGCTCCAGCCCCTTCCGCTGTTGCCTGCCCAATGGCATTTCTCCAGCAATTCTCCCTCTCTGTCCTGCACCATCAGTTTCAGTCCAGGATAAGGGAGGATAGAATTTTCAGGAAGCAGGATGGAGGAGGGTTGGTGAACAGCACCACTGGCCTTGACTAGCCTGCTCCCGGCCACACATACTGGTTGTTTCTCTGGAGAGAGCACTGTATTCACTGAGATGAGCAACTGGAGAACTACCAGCAGCCATCCCCTCCCTTTGTGCCTCACAGCCCCAGTGACTGATGGAGATGGAGACAGGATCCTTGGCTGCCTTCATGGAGTTGTTTAAGGAGCACTTAGAAGATGCTTTATGGGGCTGGGCGCAGTGGCTCAGGCCTGTAATCTCAGCACTTTGGGAGGCCGAGGTGGGCGGATCACAAGCTCAGGAGATGAGAGCATCCTGGCTAACACGGTGAAACCCCGTCTCTACTAAAAATACAAAAAATTAACCGGGCGTGATGGCGGGCGCCTGTAGTCCCAGCTACTCGGGAGACTGAGGCAGGAGAAGGGCGTGAACCCGGGAGGCGGAGCTTGCAGTGAGCCGAGATCGTGCCACTGCACTCCAGCCTGCAGCCTGGGCGACAGAGCCAAACTCCATCTCAAAAAAAAAAAAAAAAGAAGAAGAAGAAGAAGAAGATGCTTTATGGGTGTCCCTACAATTTCACCATCAGAAGAGTAGTTCCGTTAGGTTGAAATTTGTCTTTTTACTCAACCTCTTCTAAAATTACAAATCATCCCTGGAAAGGATAACACATCAAGTCATACATACTTTATCCTGTGCTTTTTCTCATGGAGTGCAGTGCAAGACAAGACATCCAGGTGTCCAGGCTGCTGAATGTGATGGTGTGGAGTGGGTGGTAGAAGTGAAGAAAGGAGTAGGTGGGAGCAATCAAGTATTTGCTTGCTTGATTCCACAAACAGGAGGCTTCTTTTCTCTTTACCTAACCTTTGGCTGTTTAACTTTGCAAGGTTATGTGGGAAACAAAAATCCTTAATATGGAAACATTAGCAAATGTATCACTTATAAAATGCGTACCATCAGGCCTTCCCCTGCTTAGCACTACAGTCTCTCTCCCTGCCTCATCTAGTTTTGTGGATCAGTCTTGTGATGCCTGAGAGTCAATGTAAACACTATGCAAACTGTCCTCAAACTTTAATTGATGATCTTGACAAACATTCAGGATTCCATGAAGTTGGTAAGAGAGGTGTCACAGAACTGCTAAAATAACATTTCAACTATTGATAAAAGAGCATGGAGCAGAGTGAGACCGGTTAGCAGCTGAATCAGAGGAAAATAAACAAGGATGATGATGAGATGGGAGCTTCCAAAAAGAAGCGTTTTAATATCAAATGTTGAAGAGAGGCTCTTGGGAAAACTGTTGAAGTCTTTAGATATTTTTGCAAAAATTACCCACTTTTTGATATTCAGCAAAAGTAACCATTAAGTAAAGACAGAAAAATTGATGGCTTATGCCTGTAATCCCAGCCTGTAAACCTCAGGCCGAGGTGAGCAGATCACCTGAGGTCAGGAGTTTGAGACCAGCCTGGCCAACATGGTGAAACCCCATCTCTACTAAAAATACAAAAATTAGCTGGGTGTGGTGGCGGGTGCCTTATAATCCCAGCTACTTGGGAGGCTGAGGCAGGAGAATTGCTTGAACCTGGGAGGCAGAGGTTGCAGTAAGCTGAGATCGGGCCAGTACTCTCCAGCCTGGGTGACAGAGTGAGACTCCATCACAAAAAAAAAAAAAAAAAAAAAAGAAAAGAAAAGAAAAAGAAAAAGAAAAAGAAAAATTATGCCAAAAAATTAAGTATTTTTGTGGCTTAAAAGAACAATGTATTATCATT